CTAGTTTAATGAAGAGAAGGACGAGGGGGGACATGATAGCAGTGTTCCAATATCTCAGGGGTTGCCACAAAGAAGAGGGAGTCAAGCTATTTTCCAAGGTGCCTGAAGGCAGGACAAGAAGCAACGGATGGAAACTAACCAAGGAGAGAAGCAACCTAGAACTAAGGAGAAACTTCCTGACAATTAGAACAATTAATCAGTGGAACAACCTGCCTCCAGAAGCGGTGAATGCGCCAACACTGGAAGTTTTTGAGATTGGACAACCATTTGTCTAAAATGGTATAGGGTTTTCTGCCTGAGTAGGGGGTTGGACTAGAAGACCTCCAAGGTCCCTTTCAACTCTGTTATTCTATTCTATTCTATCTGGCTGACTGTGCAACCAACCATAATAATTTATAAATTTATATCCCACCCGACTCCCAGCAGATCTCTGCTTGCTTTCTGTTTAAAATGCTAAGGACTACAATGCAGCAACATTAGGAGGGCATTTCTGAAATTATGCCTCTGGACTTCACTGAAAGTGTATATATTTATACACTAGTAGGGATCTGAAAGATTCAGGAGAGAAAACCAGTTGGTTCTGTGTTCAGCCATACATTTGCATCGTGCAGGTGAATGCATAATTCACGATGCTTCAGGCATCTAAAACCATGATTTGGAATATGCAAGCGGCTTGCAAGTTACACCTCTGAGCATGTCTAGTAATATAAAAATGTCACTCCGCAACCTCGTGCAGATTTGTGCGTAAGAGAGAGAAAGTAATTCCTCATGTGGGTATACACATTTTATTTTTGCCACCTGCCACTGGGTGATATGCAGCTTTATTTTCCCATTACAACCAAGACCGTTTAAATATAGGTCCAGTGCCTGTGTGTGCTATGGCATCACAGGGATGAGAAAGTGGGGGGAGGGGGCATCGCTGACAGGGAAGCCGTTGGAAAAGTTCAGGTCTCCATAAATAGCCTTTGGCCTGAAGCTAACTTTGTGCTACCAAGGCAAAAGGCACAACACTAGAGCCCTGTCGCCTCTTTGCATTTGAATAAGGCTGCATTTTAAGCACCTTGTGGTTCTCTGAGATTCAGGCAGACCAGATACTGAGGGAAAGAATACTTCAAGTACCTCAGTACTCTGTAGCTTCCACCAGACAAAAGTGAAACCAACATCTCAGTAGGCAACAGTGCTGTTCTGCGCTGTCTACTCCAGGGGTCTTCAAACTTGGTCCTTTTATGACTTGTGGACTTCAACTCCCAGAATTCCTCAGCCAGGCATGCTGGCTGAGGAATTCTGGGAGTTGAAGTCCACAAGTCATAAAAGGGCCGAATTTGAAGACCCCTGATATACTCAGATGGCTCCAGCTCCTGCTCCAGCTTGTCCCAGCAAACCTGCCATTCCTTACAGTCGCACCTTGCTCTGAGTTGTTGCCCTTTACATCTCACACACACTCCAGCTTTTCCTTAATGTGGCAAACCTGGCCAGAGCCAGAATCTTCCTGCTTAGAGGCTGCAGCAGACCTTGCAACTATTCTCCAGAGTGAAAATTACCTTTTTAACAAACCTTCTTGGTGTCAGGGTGAAGGTGCTAGCCTAGAAACCAGGAGAAGATGAGTTCTAGGCTTTTCCTTGGGCATGAAAATCCCTGGATGACTTTCGGTTAGTCATTCTCTCTCATCCCAGCCCGCCCTCAAGGGATTGTGGTTGTGGGGAAAATAGGAGGGAGCGTTAGATATATTCACCTCTTTGAGTTATATACAAAAAGGTGGAATAAAAGAATAATAATGAAATAATACTAAAATAATAAAAGGAAGCAAAGGTAGCACCAATAATAATAGGTGCCTTGGGTGCAACCCAAAAACATCTGGAGCACCACTAGAACACAATCACCATCAGTCAGTTGCAAGAGGCAGGACAGCTTACATCTTGCAACACTACCTGTAAAACGATCAAACATTAATATCTGCCTATCTCAGGTCCTTGGGAAGGACTCGACAGATGCGTAAAAATGCCAGAATCCAGTCTAAACATCTGGCTGACTGTAATAATATTGCAGTGAATGGAACATTTGATTTCCCTATTTCTAAAACAGGGGAAGAAAGTATGTATGCAAGGAGCCATAGAAGTTGTTCAAGGAATGAAGAAGATGGAACCAGAAATGTTTGGAGCTGGCCTTTCCCAAATTATTATCTTTCAGGTGTACTGGGACTGTATCTCAATGAATTTCCCCAACAGCAATTTCTCTTATATGGGCTGCTCGAGCAGAAATTCTTGGGGAGTATCCTGAAGAATGAATACAGAGAGTTAACAAGGATATCACAAAATTGCCAACCTTTTCTGCCAAGCAGAAAATTCCTGCCCCCCAGTGGTGTGAACCTCCAGACTAGGTATGGATAGACCGCCTGCAGCCCATGGCTAGTTTTCCAAAGCTCTCTGCGTGGAGCCAGTTCAACTGTTGGACTGAATGCTGGGTGTGAGGATGAAAAGAGGAGAGAGAAAGGGGGGAGAAGAGGCAGGAAAGGAGGGGTGAATGGAGAAAGAAACAAAGGAGGGATCTTTGTGTCACATTCCTCACCCTTCAAACCCAACCACAGACACAGCTATTCCAAGTGCAGCAAGGTCTTGCTTAAGGATGTTTAATATCCGGAGGCAGGGCCCACTCCAAAATAAATCCCGTTGTTTCTTTACTCCCCTTGTTCTCCACTACGAAAGATCTACTTAATACACTAGGCATGCCCATGCAGCCTTTGCTGTGAAGCAGGGCTCTGTGTGTGCTGCCAAAACTCTGACGTACACTGAGCATCTCATGTTTTACAGCTTCTAATAATCACATGCTGTTCTCCGGGGAACATTTCCTGTAAGATCCCTTCATCTCCAACCTCCCCCCCCACCTCCCCACTTAAAGACAAACAACAAAATGCCAGCAGAAAAAAAAAAAATCAATGTGCATAATTACTTCTGCAACTTAATAACCAAGTCCAAAACTGTAGAATTTGCAAAAAATTAACAAATATCTCCAGTTTTTACAAAGAAGGCCTGCGACCTTTAAAAAAAATAAATCAAATCAATATGAAGCCAAGAGCTGGTTGGTCTCTTTCACCTCCAAATGGAAGAGAGACTTTTCATTGGCGTGGGCGTTTGCATTCAGGGAGGTATTTGCCAGATTTTATACTGACAAGGGTAGAGCAAAGGAAATGCCAGCTAAATTGGGTACCCACTACGCAAGTCCAGCTCAGATCGCAGTCAGAATGGGTTGATATTGCATCAATTAAAAAGGAAATTCCTAACGGCAAGCAGTGGCTTTAATGGAAGCTACTTCTGCCCAAGGTGTTTCTGGGTTTCTCTGCATCAGCTTCTTTTCTGAAGAAGAGTTCCAAGCTGGAGGGAATTTTGCAGAATTGTTTTAAGCAGGGTTTGTGCAGAGTGCCATTCAGCTGGGTCACATCTCCCTTCTACAGGTAGTCCTTGACTTACAACTGGTTGCTTAGAGACCATCCAAAGTTATGATGGGGCCAGAAAATGGGAATATATTTATGACCCGATTTTGAAGTTCTGGCATCCATCCCCCCCACCCTGGACAAGGGATCGCATTTTGGACATTTGGCTACCACTTATATTTATGACCACCTGCAGTGCCCTGTAGTTACGAGACCACGATTTATGACTTTTGCCAGAAACCAGCATTTACCTCTGGTTTCCAGCAAAAGCTGGACAATGTGTTTGCATAACAACTACTGCGTTTGCTTTAACAGATGCCACGTTCGCGTAATAACTGCCGCAAACAAGGCCATAAAATTGGGTTCACTCACATGGTGAACCGCTGTACAACTATCACAACGTACGACTGGAATTGTGGGCTTAACTGTAGTCATAACTCGAGGACTACCTGCAGAAGGGAACTAACTAACTTTCTCTTACAAGCTGCACTTCTGGGGCAACTCAATAACGGCCAAGCTGTCTTTCAGTGCAGCTTGGCTGTCGCTGATGTTGATTTTTACACGGCAAAAAATATTATCTAGATCACTTCCTGGCATAGAATCTTTCCTAACGTTTCACCACTCGGTTTCCATTTTTCTGAGTTAGCAGGTCAAAAAGTAACATTTCTATAGGATTAACAAATTCTTCCAGAATAGCAATATTATATCAACACGAACAAACAGATAAGGAAAAGTTGCAAAAATGTACAGGAAAGTGCCACAGCTATAATGGACCCTGTTCTGGATCGTATAGCTCTATGTAACCCTAACTAGAGAGCATGTATCAGTATGTTAGAATATCTGGCACTTATTGGGTTAAGTGCTGTCTCCTTAAGAGATGGATTATGGGAAATGCAGTTTAGCTAGTCAGTCATCCCATGTTAATGGGTCAGTGGGAGGAGTTTCTAAAGGGCACTGGGAAACTTCCTGGACACAAGCCAGATTGGAATGTCTTTGTCTAAAAAAGAGCATGGGCCATCAGATGTCACCAGATGACCCTGTGCCGCTATAAAGATGGTATGGAGGGAGCATCATTCTTTCACCTATAGGAATGAACAAGAGATGTATTGTCAGAGGCAATCATCATGAATGCAAGTAATCTATCTGATTAAAATATGTTTTTTGTTATGAAATCATTTCTATTGAGTTTATCTATCTAAGGTCAGCATAGACTCTACTTTTGATTTCTGACAGATGTGAGATATACTAAAAACTCTTCTTCCAGGGAAATTGCCTTTTCAAAGCAAGCAAGCAACGAATGACCTTGAGTAAAAACATTCTCTCCTCAGATAGACCGGAGACAAGACAATGAGTTTCTTTAATGCTACGGCATATTCTTTTTTGAGAAGGTAATTTCCAAAAAGGGCTCTTTTTTTGTTAACGCTGTGGTGGCAGGAACTCCTGAACTTTACCGTTGCAATTATCTACGACTAGGACAAAACACACAGAAAAGTACTGACAAAAGGCAACCATTTTCCTACTACCCAGTATATGGGCTTGCTGCACACTGAGAGCAGGACACAAAACCAAAAACTTAGTAGAATAGATTTATTCATAATAACTCTTTCCAAATCCCACAGAGGTTCTTTGACACGCTAGGCTACCATCCCCTTTACTTTAATTGTTGGGCAATGCTATTTACAGAGTGCAGGAGTTCCTTGAAGTAGCCATCTTCGTCCCCTTCCTTTCGCTCTTCCTCGGCCAGCTCTTCATATTCCTGGCGCAAGAGGCTGAGGACCTGGCTGAGAGTTGGGTCCCCAGCGTAAGTGTCCTTACAGAAGGTGAGCAGGACGTGCACCGTCTTGAGGACCTTCTCCCGGCTGTCGTGCTCCGGCATCCCCAGGAGGTTCGAAATGATTGTGCACCAGCCTTGCTCCACAAGGGCTGGCATCAAGTTCACTTGACCGTACTGCTGAGTTCTCTCAGGGGCTTCACCCTTGTTGCCACCGTTCTTGAGCAATTGCTGCAACAAAGAGTCCTCAAATGATTATTTAAGCTGAGACAGATGTTTTTAACCATGAAATATACTCACTGGCGGGAAGTCTGAAATAAATTCTATCGGCCTCTGCGGTCAGCACCAAGATCTTTCGATTTGTGTGGGTTTCAAAATGGGAGGAATGCAAGCTGAGTCATGCCGGAAGGCACATTGTGATGTTGGTGACATGTTTCACGATTAGATTCTGATTCAGTCTTCCGCTCAAGACCTGTAAGCAGTGAACAGAGCATTCCCCCCCCCTCCTTCCACTATCCTCCCCCCCAAACAACAACAACCCTATGATGCAGGCTGGAAGAGAGCAACTGGCTCTAAGTCACCCACTTGGCTTCCACAGGCAGAAGCTTTCCACTCCTAATCCAACATCTCAAATACAGGTAGTCCTCAACTTACAGCAGTTCATTTAGTGACCGTTTGAGGTTACAACGGCACTGAAAAAAGGGACTTATGACCATTTTTCACGCTTATGACCGCTGCGGCATCCCCATGGTCAGATGATCAAAAATTCAGATACTTGGCAACTGGTTCACATTTATGACAGTTGCAGCGTTCCCAGGTTCACGTGATCACCTTTTGCGACTGTCTGACAAGCAAAGTCAATGGGGCAAACCAGATCCACTTAACAAATGTGGTAACTGACTTAACGACTTCAGCGATTCACTTAACAAAAGTGGCAGGAAAGGTCGTGAAATGGGGCAAAATTCATTTAACAAATGTCTCGCTTGACATTTTGGGCTTAATTGTGGTCGTAAGTCAAGGACCATCTGTACTTCACCATCGCAGGTCTCTTGCAGCAAAATGATTTGGCGAAATGATTCCTGGAAGGGGTCTCCCATTCATACAAAGGCTGCTCTGAGAGACTCAAAATACAGTACCAATTTATGAAAATGCAACTTGTCACCCTAATGTACGTGGACAACAAAAGCAAACTGGGGAAGAAACTGACAAGACAAACAAGATTGGGGGGGTGAGGGGGAGAATGGAAAGCAGGAAATCAGCCAGATTTATTGAATAACAACAAAAGCATAAAAAGGGAGGCAGGAGTCCCTCTCTCTCTGTACACACACATACATGTATCTGTGTATATATAATTAAAAGCCGCTAGGTCAAATTTCAGAAGCTATAGGACAGTGATGGCGAACCTTTTAGACACCCAGTGCACCAAAACCGCCCCGCCCCCCTGCCCGTCCCGCTCTGCTGCCTGCCCCACCACCCACCCACCCCCGCTCCACCGCCCGCCCACCTCCTACTGCCTCCATGGCCCGCCGAAGCAGTTCACCCAGGCTGCCCTGCAGTGCCATGATGGCCATGCCTTCTGCCCATGCCCTGCAGCATCATCTGTGTGTGACGGGGCACAAGGGCAGAGTCTTGTCCCTGCTGCCCAGCTGCCATGTCCTTGTTCCGCGCAGGCCATGCCTGGGGGGCGGCTCTCCAGGGGGGCTGCTGGTGAGGAAGGGGCCGCGGGGGGAGGTGGGGCTGGGGCGATGGCATACATGCCCACAGAGAGGGCTATGAGTGCCACCTCTGGCATGTGTGCCATAGGTTAGCCACCACTGCTATAGGAAATAGGAGTGCCTGAAGCCATTCACTGCCAATAATCAGCAATATTGTAATAAAAGATGAAAAGCGATTATATCTATCTAAAGACCAGTCCATGAGAGATGCTTTCTAGTTCAGCATCTAATACTATCCATAGAGATGTTAGGAATAAGGTTCCTCTGCAGGAAGTCGGGATCACCTCCCTGACATCCTTTTCTAAAGATTCAGAAAACCGTTGAGATGCGAGGATCTCAGTTCTCACTGAGCTGATCAGCAAGAGTCACTGATATGAGATGGATGGCCATATAAATTATTTAAATAACTAAAAACAGAAGGTGACTATTTCTCTAGCCAAACAAATTTCTCCAGATAGTTTCAACTAGCAGAAAGGGAAGAACGTTTCCTGGTATATTTTCTCTGCTGGATCTTCTCCACTTTTCTATCATTTACAGCAGTGTTTCTCAACCTTGGCAACTTCAAGACGTGTGGAATTCCACCCAGCTTGCTGGCTGGGGAATTCTGGGAGCTGAAGTCCACACATCTTAAAGTTGTTAAGGTTGAGAAAGCCTGATTTCCAGCTTATGCTCCCTGCTAATTGCATGTTTTCTGGAATGCTATTCCATACTAGTCCAAGCCAAAAGAATTGGACCAAAGACTTGGATGACCTATATCCGTGGTGGCGAACCTATGGCAAGCGCCCCCTCGCCCCAGTCCTAGGCCTTAGGCCTCCACCACCATGTGCAAAGAAACAAAAAGTTTCAATCAATCAATTTCAACTTCTCGCAGGAAAAAAAAAGATCTCGCAAAGTTGGAATTGATTGATTGAACTTTTTAGTCCCACCCAATCTGCCGTTACCACCGCAGCCACGCCCACCCAATGGGCCACACCCACCCAATGGGCCACACCCACCCAATTGGTCACACCTGCTCAATTGGCCACGCCCAACCGGCATCCGACAAGACAAGTGGGTTTTGGGTTGCAGTTTGGGCACTCGGTCTCTAAAAGGTTCACCATCACTGACCTATATCACTACAAGAGGCACATGTCCACTTAGGAGTATCTAACAGGCACCTTTAAAAAAAAATAAAGTAACTGTTTTGGACTATAAATTCTGTAGTCACTAACATACTCCGGGCTGTGGTAGAACAGGACATCTGACTATGCAGTTTCCCTTCACCTGTTCCCATATGCACAAAATGCCACCTTGAAAAAAATGGAGCATATTTTTCTAAGGATTTAAATTAATTAGAGCCTGCTTTGGGGGTTTTTTTTCATTCCACAGCATCCACAAGGATGGGTAAGCAACACTAAGTATTGGGAAGAAGGAAGACTCGTTCATTTATCCTACGGGGAACCCTATTCACCATCACTTTTTCCACTGTAGAGCCATCCTCTGCTAGATCGGAACCAATGTCAGAGTAGTAGTAAAGGGGGGGGGAGGATGTTGCTCCCTCCTTCTGCTCCCTAGAAATAATCTGGATGCAGCCAAGATACTTGATTCTGTCTGCAAAACTCCCACATGGGCCCTGCAAGCCAGCCATCTGGCTACGCAGATGAAGTAAAAGGTTGCTCACAGCATACGGCAGCCAGATACACAACACAATGGGGGCGGGCATTCTCTAAATAATAATAATAATTTAAAAAAAATACATGCCTTTGCTTCACTTGGCTGCCTCCTGGGTAAATTGCTATATATGCGCTTCATTAATTAGATCCTAATCACAAGCATCTCCTTACTACTATATTATAATTAAGGAAGATTGTTTCTCCAGCTTAAGAGAGAAGGAAAGTCAAATCATCCTGAATTGTATGCTGGGAGGTTGCCCTGCTCATCTCTGTTCTTAAGTCCCAGCAGAGAAGCTTGATTGCGATATACGTTCCTTGATGGTAATTTGCCTTTAGTGGCACACACGTTCATGCTGGGCAAGAAGTAACAGCTGGTAGAGAAGGAACTCGGGCCCAGACTAAAGGATAGACCAAAGAATATACCCTGCACAGCCTGACAGCTGTTCTGACAAGGTTCAAGGCACAGTTGAAAGACATTCGTTCAGGTGCTGCGCAAAACTTGTCAACTCCTCTCTTTCCAACTCGCTGTACCAACAATGGGGCACTGCGGTCCAACAACATCTGAAGGATACGCAGGTTCTGTCTTCCTTGAATATTGATCAGCTTGGCTGAGGCTTATTGAAGTTGGAATACAAAAGCCACAGACGGGCCAAAGGTTTCCCCACTGCTATAAGCAAAAAATATGTGATTCAGCTTAACAAGTCAACAAGGTGCTTTTTCCCCAAAAGGCAACTGGACTTTGTTTTTTTTTGGGGGGGGGGGGTTTCCCCTTTGAAAAGGTTTCACTTCTCATCCAAGAAGCTTCTCGGATGAGAAGCGAAATATTTTCAGATGAAAAAAAGCCAAAAAGTCCAGTTGCCTTTTACAAAAAAAAGTTCCCTTGGGACAACCATGGCCTGGATGATTGAAAATCTCCACAGACACTTACAAGTCAACTCTTTTGTCTGAAGGAGCCACATCCAATCTCACCTGCCCAACTTAATAAGAGAAGATCAACTCTTCTGTG